ATCGTCTGTAATAAAAACGTACTTGGCTGCTTAGACTTTTTTCTGTAGTTCCGCAGATTTACGATTACCGTGCCTGTACAGTATTCTTTAGATTGATTTGCGACATTGTATCCTCAAATTCTTACCTGATAAGATTGTTTCTCAACTAGTTAAAAATCTAAAAAACCTCGGCGATTTGACATAATGATCACGACATTAAATGCTTGCTATGGGCTATGTATGAGTCACGAGTATTTGTTCACATCGAACAGAATGGCAAAATATGAAGTACAATGCAGCAATTTAACCATAAAAAGTGAACAGAATCACTTACATTTTGTGAAAAAGTGGCCATAATTTTTTTTACTTTTACTATTTACGGTGACGTTATCACGGAAACACGTTATCACGTGACGAAAAGAAAAGGAACAAATGCCGTGTGCCACGCGCATAATTCCACATCAGACAATACATGATAAAAAATGAAAACGACGAAAATTGGTTTCTGAATATGTTATATTGCAACAAATAATCTACATTTCGTAAAATTCATCAGCTTTAAGATTCGGGCACCAACATGTAACGCGAATTTACGTGAATTTACGTGAATTTATCGGATTTCTTTCGTCTACATCCCTTATACGACGTTGAAAACCGACGGACAGATTTCACGGGATAACCGTGGATCTCGATCGAAAGTTGCATATAACTCTAATTGGATTCAAAACACAGTCATAATTGATATTGCAAGATTTGGAAGCCTTTGTATCGAGTTGCTATCATGTTATCACTTTTATCACGTTCCCCTTCCACATCCCCCCTATCTCTCTCTTTCCCTGATTCTCTCTCCCATATCTCTTCCTCTCTCTCTCTCTCTCTCTCTCTCTCTCTCTCTCTCTCTCTCTCTCTCTCCTGTTGCTGTTGCTGCTTACTGGCTGCTCTGCTTATCTGCTACTGCTACGCTGCCCTACTGCTGACTGCGCCTTACTGCTCGCTGCCCCGCTATCACTTACCACTACCACTACTACTACTACGTACTTACTACTACTACTACTATACTACTAACTACTACTACACTACTCACTTACTACTTTACTACGACTACTACTACTACTACCTACTACTACTACTACTACTTTACTACTGAGTGCACAGCAGATGTGTCAATGATAGTTTACTTGGATCTAACGCCTGTCGGTTCGGATCCCTTCACGCATGTTAAAGTGAACATTACACGCTTAAATCACGTAATACAACGATTCGTCATCGCCCTATTGCTTGCGTACGCAAAACGAGTAACCTCAACGCTCGTGTCCGTAGTTAGAAGCTTACACCTTACTTACTACGAGCTTGAACTATCCACGCTATTTTTTCGAACATGCGTTCTTCAACTGCGGGCTTGCGAGGTACGTGCGACATGTATATTTACTGGCAGCAAAAAAGCTAAGCGGCATTGACAGAAACACCGCCAGTTTAGCATTAATGGTTGCCTTTTAAGCAAATGTGTCTAGTAAATAATGAGCAACTCGACTGGTACGACAACTGAATTCAGCTCCGAATAAAACCCAAATAACATACACAGGCACGCACGCACGTACGTAACGTACGCACGCCAACGCACACACACACACACACACACACATCACCACACAACAACACACACACGCACGGCACGCCACGGCACGCACGCACACAACACACGACACACACACACCATGCACACACAAGATCGACAGAGATGAGAGCATTGTCGCAGACAGCAGATTACAAAGGCCTGAGAGCACAGAGACATGTACGATTACAGAAAGAAAATTTAACAAAACCCATAACTTACATACCGCTTCATTCTTTCAAATCATATCAGGACGAACGGCCAAACAGTTGAAGTTACTTCTGCCAGATAATTCATCTCCATCATCCGAATACCTCTGTGAACCGCACCGTGATTGTTCTCTCTCTCTCTCTCTCATCTCTCTCTCTCTGCTCTCTCTGCTCTCGTCTGCTCCCTTCCTCTTTCGTCTCTCTTCTCCCCTCTCTCTCTATCTGCTCTAATGACGCCTTTGCTTTATCTACACCAGGAAATAGCGTTCGCAATAGACCACAGGGGCTATAACCTGTCCTATGCGTCGCCGATTGTCGTCAAGAAATATATCAGTGTTCTAACGGGTTCCTCGGCAATTATTGCCGCGCGAACAGAATATGACAAGCCGCAAAATTAAGCGTCGCCTTCTATCATTGGACTCCTCCCCACTGCGTTTCGTCCTGCCGCATGCTGTAGAACGCGCGTAGGTGTGTAATTAGCATGCTCCGAATTTTAACGACCCCAATCATCCGTCTGTTTAGTGTTGGTTGCCTGTAAACAAATCGCGCGATGCGTCTACAGCTAGCTTTAATCCCGCAGTTTCATTGAGTCTTCTCGTTGTTTGATCGCATCTTTTCGCATTTCCGCTGATTCTTCGCTGTAATTACTTAAATCAATCTATATAAAAGCCCCACTAAAATTTGACTACATACGCCATATGTTGTTGCAGCCATTCATATCGTCGTTATGCATCGACGCAACCCCATAGTTATTTTGTCCTCAGCTTTAATCAGGCGTGTCTTGTACGATGATAAACGTTAAAGTACTTGTCATTTTCAAAGCGTCCATCACTAATATCTTCCTGAATGCCACGCCTGCTTTCACTTTCATGCGCGATTGGTTGCGACGGCTCTCGTTAATTATACTCGGATATCCACACACCTGGTATACTCAATGCTGCTTTTATTCAGCATATCCCTTTGTGTGCCATCGCAATATAAATCCGCTGGACGCCGGTAACTGAATGTATTGCAATCACTGCAGATTGAAGAATGAGAGAGAAGAGAGAGAAGACAGCCGTCGGCCCGCAATACGACTATGACGTTTGTACAATATAATTACGAGAAGCGCGATATCTTAGATATTCGGGATAACGCTCCGCCGTACTCACTGAGAAACTTTGATCCATGCCAGTGACTATCATTATTCGTGTTCAGTAAAAATATCCCCCATACTTTTTATCTCTCTTTTCTCCTTATTATCATTACCCTATTTGACTAAATTTTACCTGATTGCCCAGAAGAGAATAAGACCCAGTTATTATATAAAAAGTCTAACAAAAATCTGTTTGCGCGAAGCTGAAAAGCACCATATATGGCTGACGTCTTCATCACCTTATTACGAGGCCGGTGTATGTCTATGCACGCCACGATTGCCGATTACTTGATGTGATACGAGAAGGCGTATGTTGTAGAAGTACACACGTTAAAATAGGTAACACGCACGTGTGTGCCGTGTGTGTGCTCGGCCGTGTGTGTGCTGTGTGTGTGCTGTGTGACCCTGTGTCGTGTGCCCCCCCGCAAAGTGTGGTGTGATGTGGTGTGTGTGGTAGTGTTGAAAGATGTGTAGTGACTATCCATGGTGTGTGTGTGTGTTAGCTGTGTGTGTGTTGTGTTGTGTGATGTGATGTGCGTGTGTGTGTAGTGTGTGTTCGTCGTGTGTTGTGTGTGTGTGTGTGTGTGTGTGTTGTGTGTGTGATGTGCTGCTGTTGTGTTATGTTGTGTGGACTCGTGCGACTGTGTGTGTCGTGTTAACGCGTGTGTATAGCATTATTATTAGCATTATCCAGATTATACGTCTTACCGTGTATCGCGCTTGACTAGAAGTCCCGCCCCTTTGATTCCTCGTTTAACGATGTGCAGGCGCAGTGCTACAACGTAGCTATCATATGTCTAGAAATTTTACGTTTTTCGCAATTTCACGGTAGCGTAAAAGTCCTTGCCTCTGATACAAGTGCGGACGCGTGACTCTTCAATCGGCAGAAGACCTGCCCGCATGCTCACTCTGCCCACCTAAGCACTTGACGCTCTGGTTATCGTATACTGATCTCTAATGGGAACTTATCCAGTTGTCGATTTCTACCCTGTAATCTACGCAATTCCTGAGCACATGAGTGTAGCACGATTCCACAATGAAGCCTTGGTGTGGCAATCTTGCATTCAAATTCACTTTTCTATCAATTTCAATGCACGCGTGTTCTTCATATTTTTATAGACATCGTAATTAAGGAAAGCACCAGGCTGCACAGCTACAAAGTTGTCACGCTACGTATCGCGTACACCATACTGCGATATTGTTATACACGTACGCGATCTTCACGCTGTATTATCGGTTGTACACATACTATTGCCTCGCATCATGGATGCGCTCAAATATGAACGCCCGTAAATTAAATTGTTATATATATAGGTATATAGTATATATATATATTATATATATAATATTCATATATATATATAGTATATATCAGGAGTGAATAACATCAACATACGATACTGGAAAATCCTCACAAGGCAGACCAATAATGGTAAGTATTAAGATAAAATTAGAGAATGTAACAATCGGCATTTTATTAGTTATGTGAGGCAAAACATAAAATATCAGGTGAGATTCTCATTGTTCCTGCGCCTGAAGGTCCTTCTTGGCAACGCCCCTAACCATAATTCCTATGAATGCATTTCCTATATTGAGCGCCTATAGCTCGCGTTAAATTGATGGCACATTCGCGCATATTGTTACACGGACCCTACCTCATGCTTTTTCTTCTCTATACTGAACACGGTTACATTATGGGATATAATCTCCCACTGTAGGCATGTGCTCAACGTGTACGAGCTGCTGAAGTGTGCATGGTCACCGCCATGCTTCGCGTTCTCAGTGGTTCTATATGTCCAATAATAAATGCATGTCCATCATTTCGTATGGCTTCATCGCGAGCCCGTAATGCTTCAGAGCCAGGGGGGGGGCTACGCTTGTCGAGAAAAACATCGTAAAAGTTAATGTTAATGACTAATTTGTTTCGTGCCGTCACGATCATACTCTGAGCTATCGAAACGTATGCCAACCTCGTCGCAATAGCCATCGGATTCTCGATTCAGCGTTGCACGCATGCGTGGTGACGTCATCGGAAGGTGAGTCGGGGCGTCATTACGTCACGGGGTTATTTGATGCTCTCGCAGCTCGTGTCTTTTGTCTCGCACGCCTTGCACGCGCACGATTCCGCATCGACTACCTCGTAGTAAGGGTCGGGGTGCAAGCTGTGGCAGTGTCGAAGGCGCACCAGACGTGGAATCCTCACCTCATGCTCGCACACTGGGTGGTGACTTATCTTGAATGGATACACCCAATCGCCGATCTGTGAACACGAGAGAATGCGTTTTAGTAGCTTTTCCTCGTATACGTTTACACCTCGTTCACATAGCGAACAGTTTATTTCATCGTTTAGACGTTCATTCAATATTTACGTGTCGATAGGGATCTTTTTCAGCCTTTTGAACATTGATACAATTCAAAATAATAATAAAGTTTAAAGATTAAGGATGACGACGAAAGATTAACGTATCTGAAAAGAATGATGCGCAGGCGGAAGGTTTTCTATGTATTTTCTTTTCGTTAACAATACGAGTATAAAACAACAAAAACGCAATGAAAATGAGTAGAGCTATACGAGCAATAACCTCGTTGGAGTCGCATCGCCCCCAGCATGACATCACGCTGACGTCATCCCAGCAAGGGAGACCGTTGTGTGGTTTCGAGATGCGGTAGGAATACTCCCGTTTGTGACAGATAAGCGTTGACGTTGGGTCGATTGTGTCCTTCGCTGAGACATGAGCTGTGAAGCTGGCAATACCAAGCAACGTGTAGATAGTGACGAGCATGATTGCCCCGCCCCTCGTCGTCAGCTAAACATGAAAAAGAACGGTAACGTTACTGTATAAGCTGAATATTTCGCGGTGGTTTCATTTTCGCGAATTTCGCGAACGCGTCCCCGACCGCGAAAATAACAACACGCGAATAATCAATACCGAATAATTCCGAATAATTCATAATTCACCGACCGCGAACTTAACCACTCGCGAAATTGTCCGTCAAGTCTGAATTCGCGAAAATATGTGTACGCGAAAAATACGACTTATACAGTATACGGCGCGATTTTCTTTGCTCCCACCTAACGGCGGAATGTGAACTTCCCGAACGCAACTTTTGCCGAAATCTTGTTGACCTCTAACTAGACTTCGGAGGTCGATAAAAATTCAAAGGATGTTTTTCACTGTCACTGTGATTGCACTCAAACTTATGAACAAGCACGATTGGAACCGGAGCTAGACGTCCTGATTTCGTACTGGTTGACTTAGCGAGCAAGGTCTAGTTTTCATAACGGAAACTGACATGGTCAGAAAACGGACGCATGTTGTAGCACTAACCTGTCAATTACCTGACACCCCTTGTAGGTTGCGTAGTAGTGAGTTCCGAAAGGCGACCGCGCCGATCTAACACTTACTGTTGAATCTAACGCCTCCGCCGTTGCTGCTGCTGCTACTACTGCTACTGTTACTGCTACTGCTACTGCTACTGCTACTGCTACTGCTACTGCTACTGCTACTGCTACTGCTACTGCTACTGCTCCTGCTACTGCTCCTGCTCCTGCTGCTGCTACTGCTACTGCTACTGCTACTGCTACTGCTACTGCTACTGCTACTGCTACTGCTACTGCTACTGCTACTGTG